CTATTGACGAAAACGTTTGCAATCGTATTTGATTATTCTTACTACTACTATCAGTACATCTGTCAGCCTAGTAGTCAACTTGTACATTTACCTATTATCTATAGTTACGTAATCTATTTCATTGTGATTATCGACTCATACTCAATTGCCTTGATTGGTTTAACATTTTTATATCAATATTCCTGTATGTTAGAGGAAAGCCTGATGACGATCTAACTGAAAACAACATTGTTCGCGATGTGTAGCTCCGATTTTCACTATGAGAATATTGATTACGTAATCTTTTGGAATATTCTTGTTGTTTGATGATTACGAAACTAGATTACTATGTGTGTGTGTGTAAATTCCATTGATGATAAGCCGTCGGTCAACCTATAAATTATTGTCATAAGACTTATAATTCTTATTTCATTGCTGGCCTACTAGTTATCGTCTCTCCCATTCACAAAGACGTTCGCCTTCCTAAAGTATAATTTTTATTTAGCGAAGCACGGCGTGATGTTATTCGGCATGTACTTGCTTAGTCATCGCCTCTTCACAATGTAGATTCAATAGAGGTAGATCGCTATTTTTGGACTCAGAACAAGGTTTCGAAAAGAGTCTGCGAACGGTGGACTGATAAGTTCTAAGCTATCAGTCCAAGATTACTGGCCTTGATTGGGAGTGTTTTTGTTCAATTTTATGACAGTAGATGGTCGAGGATGTGGTCAACATCGAATATGCAAAACTTCTATCATGATTTGAATTGATAAGTGAACATGTTATAACGCTCGTTTGATTTGAAGACATGACAGAATGTCATTTCTACTTCAAAGTATTCCGACACATCACTCAACAATACACTGAAGATTTGTGATTGGCAATTAAACAATCCACAATTATACTTCATTCTTAGAAACGATCGACGATTAGCTAGTTAGTGAATAGTTATCATAACAGACACTATGATAGAGTATGCCAAGTCAATTACTAACTTGTTTTTATCACATTTTGGATAACAGAATTCAAAACTTGCATTGTATCTCTTTATTTATTATTTGTAAAGGTGTACACTTTGGTGTTTCATATTCAATAAAGTAAGGTGGTCACAAGTGAAATTACCTTCAAAGAAGTGAGCAAGCGTAAAAATAAGTTTCACAAAGAGTAATGATCAGTTTACAAAATGGTTGATCACCACACATAAATAAATAATTTTATTCTTAATTTTAGTCAGACAAACAGTGAACTCTTAAACATCTGGTCTGACAAAATTTGAGAAAGCAGAAAATTGATTATTTCTCAGAGAGTATCTGACATTCTACGTACAACTGGTCAATCATTCGTTGGAGCTGTAATGTGTCCCAGAAATACTGGTACAGTATCATTCCATACAACAGACACAATAAACGGATGGTCAACACGGAATTCCGGCACATCTTCATCATCTTCATCACAGACTTCAATGCTTGTGGATGCAGCTGCTATTACACCTTCTTCATCCACCTGGATAAGAAATTGAAAAAAATCGAACTCTGAATGGATTATTGCTGTAAAATGAACCGAAATATAAGTTACTTCATATCGCACAAAAATTTGAAATATTCAACTGTTAAATACATTTCATTCAGTAGTATGCTTTTATTATAGTAAGAGTCTCTCTACGCAAATTAGTAGAATACTTCAAAACAAACGTACATTGCCGGAACACCTTTGTTCTGCGTACGTTGTCCCAGTACATATCTACCATGTTTTCAGCAGGAACATGAAGACAGTTAAAAGTCGGATGATGAAACAAAGACTTCGTCTCAATAGAATGCAACTGATAAGATTCGAACGAACGATTGTCTATAGTGTACTAACCAGACTCTATAACATACATACATCTAACAACGAACAAACTAAGTAGGAATGACCAAACACAAAATGAAAATAGAATGACGCTACGAGAAAATTCATGAAATATCATCTGAATAAGAAGAAAACCTTGGCGATAATTTCACATTGTACAGTTTATTGACGAGCAAAGAAATATCATATTCAGTGTGATTGAGATTGACCAAATAAACACAGGTGCAACTGAGCTCTAAGTGTATCTTGATCTGACTTTGATTTGGATGGACGAGTGAATATACCAACATTATAAATCTTCCGAGTAACTTCTCATATTTCAGCGAAGATAAATCCATTCGAGTGAGAGCGGTGATAAGATTTCTAGAACGGATCAAATTTTGTGTCTTCATTTCATGCATTCATTAACGTAGACAAACATTAAGATGAAGAGCGCGAAAGCCGGGCAAAGCGAAGAAAGAAAATGTGACAGTCTCTTTTGATAGAGAACGACACACCACAGATAGCCAGAACAAAATAAACGAAAGATCTGTAATGAACAGAGTAAATAATGCACACAGACACGCCTACACAAAATCACTCATCGTCATCAGAGTATAATTGACAAGACCAAAACAGGACATGAGAAGAATAAATTATTCGGTCCGTCCACCATCTACAGTGACCCATGTACGTGTAAAATATTACCAGATGCTACAACTTGCACCAATTTAGAAAGTCAAGAATTCTACTGCCTACACAAAACTAAGTTGAAACAATTTGAAATCTAAAGCTGACTATTCAGTTCAATTATTTGACTCACTTCAAGTATAGCCTTATGCAAAACATCTGATATATACGTTCCATCACTGTCAGTGATGTTCGAAAAGTCCGCTGATCCTGGAATGAATGCGTCGTTTATTCCCATTTTCTGCAAAACACCTTTTAAACTCACATCACTTCCTTCTGTCAGTTTAAATTTAGGTAAGTAAAACTGTAAGTTTGTATTCTCGAAATTACTGGAGAGTACTGAAGAAATTCCTCCAGTTTTGTACAACAACTTCAATAGGTTCGGTAATCCATTCAGTTCATTTGGAAGAATAATCAATAACGAATACCTGTGTCAGAGTTAGTTGGAAAGCAAACGAACAGTAGAATTACATTAACCACGTTAAATAAAACGCGAAACAGTCAAATGTATGAATACCTAAATACGCTTTAATTATTTTGGACAAGTATTGTTGTCATTAGCTTTCAAAGTGAGCAAAATTATTTATTCAAACTTCGTTGAACAACGTCTAGTGAAGTTAGAGTTTAGAAATAATTTTGTGGAAAGCAGCATCTAACCATTTCCTCCGGATATGCCTTCTGTGATAATTCACCTCCTAAAATCAACTAGACCATAAATCTCGTTGTCAAATTACATACTTTACGAGGTTGTGTACTTAGGTCTCGGTATCATCAGTTGCGAGCGATCGGTAAGCATATGAAAACTGATCTATGTGTTCATTTAGCTAAACTAGCTGTATAAATGGCAATTAGTTATTTCAGGAGAATGCAAGATTATCATTTTGATTAATCACAAAAGCCAACACACAAGTATTGATTTAGGGTAAAGTTTTGAATAAGCATAGGATGAAATAAAGAGTACAACAGTCATACTCACTTAGGATCTTTGAACGGTATCTTTACTGCTTGTGCCATCAAATCAGGCAAACTAGTCATTTTGAAATAAGACTCGTTATACATCAACCTCACGTGGATTGTCAATCCGTCCAATGTATAGAAGTCACTGTCAGCTGATGCCTCCGGCAGGAAACGTTCATTCCACAAACCTGAAATCAAAGTTGGTCATTACACCATAAGTAGGTGTGAAAGTCAGCCACAAAAAGTGAAACACAAGTAATCAATACCTGGATTAATTTGGAAAAATAATTTCAACTGAATGCATGGTATTACCTCGGAAGTATGAAGTTGATATCACGACAGCCAACGTATTGATCGTTAAGGATTTGAGGGGAATGAGTTGTTGAATTTTCCCATCTGTCTGTTCGCTAACCCACTGGTTGATTCGTGTTTCAGCACTTTCTGGATCTGTTTGAAATAACACCTACCCAGAATGTCAGTGATACACAGTATGAACTTACACCCTCCACCAATGCGTTGTAATATTTCTCAAGAGTGTTACTGAAATGCTTCTTAATGTCCACATTCTTTCTTGCGAATAATCTATTCCCAAGAGTTATTTCAACACCTTTGTCAGCTTCAGAACACTTCGACAACATTTCACTGATTCCTTTGTGAATTGTGTCGAGGTCCGAGTGGTTGGATAACTGCATCGCCCTCACCATTTCAGCTTTTGTATTTCCTTCACATCCAGCAAGAACCATTCCAAGAGCAGTATAAATACTGAATGGGGAAACAAAACTATTTTCCAAATGAACTGAATGCGAACATACAAATTTTGTGGAAGAAAACACTTACCGTGAGTTTCTTCTAATATTAGTGCATAAAACATATCAGTGAAGTTTATAAGTGATTGCGCTATCTCCATCTTGTTTCAGCTTACAATGTTTCCAAGCAACAGCTTCAGTCAGTTATCTGAAGAACTAAAAGACATGAAGTAATAGAAAGATAATGAAAATAATTATTTATTGGACCTAAAGATGATATTTACCGCATGTCAAAGACACCCGAAACAAGTACGTAATAAATGCACTGAACATTTGGTGATTTTTCATTAGTGCTTGTTGATAGTCTAAACACTCACTGATGGGATAAATTAAGAACAAACCAATACATAGCCAACTGCTCAAAATCTATACCAGTCATTGCTGTTCAAACGTTCAACTTATTCGAACAAAGATGAGTTTATTGACTCTTCGGTCGTTATTGATATGTAGAATATTTTAGTTCACTTGCGGGTTTATTTTCATTTTCTAAAATTTCCCAGACCGAAGAAGATGGTTGGTCTCATCTCTTATTATCCACTAAAACTGATTACGTACCACTACGATGCAGTAACCTATTTATTTAAGATGTTTTTGTGTGGACCAGATGTAATCTCGCTTGTTCCTTGGTGTTACGGTACTTAGTCAGAGTTTTTGATGGCTGCAGATGGTGGAAATATACTCACCTCAGCTGAACTAGTTTTAGTGCTTCTGAGTTTTTGTGTTTGCATACACGAATTCCAAGTGAGTTCATTCTTCTAAAAGCAATAGGGCTTCTGAAAACCTGTTTAAGTCTTTTCCAGACAGCTGACATGCAATCTAGGAGAAGCATAGCCTTATCTGCTTGTCAATCTTCTCATGTGTAACACAACGTCACTACTTTATTCAAGAGTTTCACGAGCATTTTACGTAAGAAATACTACTTAAAAAACAGTTGCAGTGATACTAACTGACAGTTTATCTCCTAAACAATCAGCTCGGAATAAACTGCACTAATGAAGTAAAATGTCAGTTTAGTTAGAACCTTGGTGATACTGTTCAATCCAAGTAAGCCGTTTAAAAAATTGTTAGTTTCTGTTAGTTTTCATGGAAAGGAACTCTTAACTCTCTATCCAACCATGATTTCGTGTATATTATTTCTTCGGATATCATACTAATGAAATGAACTTGTTTACGATTAGCTACTGGTGAATTTTACATTCATATCCTCTCGAAACAAAATGAAATCTCCAGAGTCAAACAGTCACTAGCGGCTTACTGCACACTATGTTCATAAAATTCTCTGAAAACTACGTAAATCTGATTACTATTTTCAACTGCCGCTATTTATGTGTGTCCTTTTCCAAGGCTGTTTCTTCAACGGCTTAAACAAGTTTCTCGAGACGGTATCTAGTTCCAAAGAATCACCGAGACATTCAGGTTGCAACATAGATACGATGAATTGAGCATGATTACTCCACTGGACAATATGCAATATCTTTTACACGGGCTGGTATAAACCAATTGATTTCACTACGCTCGATTCACGTTCTTTCGGTACAGTTCCAGGTGTTTTGTAGAATCCGATAGATTTGTGCCTAGACACTCGACTGCACTAATTCTAGTCAGTTGGCAGTTGTTTGTGAGTTTGTATGTCGTGTTATTTGAATCAGTAGGTCTGTTTGAGGGCAGTAGGGTTTCTAAAGACCTGCAGCTCTCACATTACCAGGCCGGAGATCAGTTGCTTGCAATGTGGAGAATAATGAGGAGAAAATTGTATTGCTGATGAGAATAAGGTTTCGCAACCAAGTAATTGGTTGAGATTTTAGTTACTTAATTTTTATTGAAGATTATTCGGGAGGACCGAAGTGTAAGCAATGGAAAGGAAATAGAATTATTAAGCGAGTTAGATCGAGTTAGTGATCTGAGGAGATGGCAATAAAAACAAGTAGTATGTCTGAAAGTGTGCGTCAGGTACAGCTTGTCCACGAGGGAGACGGTAATCCATATGTGAGTACCTGTCGATCAAATCTCTTCCTAATGTATTCCACTGAGGGTGCTGTGGTCACCTCGGCTGGGTGAGCATTCCAAATTGAAACGACTCCTAATGGGAAATGTGTGCATGAACCCGGATGTTCGCTGTCTGATGAGAAATGTTTAGAGGACTGCCTCTACTGTAGTAGGCAAGATCAACTGAAATTTTTGTTCGATTCGTCAAGTGTCTGCAAGTGAATGATGTTTTTTTGTGTTGCCTTCGGAGGAAGTAGGAAGTGAGATGCTGCTTAAAACAACTAGAATTACATCAAAGTGGCTGATTATTTTTTATTATTATGGTTGAGAGATCTGTATATATATGGTCATTCATTTTCATACAATGGGTAAATGTGCGTCATTCGTCAGTGATGTATTTATGACATGAATTCGTCAGCTGCAGTTGTTGCAAACATATACTAAATGAGGCTCTTCTTGCATCGTTTGATGACAGTAGAATATGGCTAGTAAAACTGAAGCATTTCATGTATTTTTTCAAATATTCGTCTCAGATGTTTTAGCAGCAACATCAATCGTGGTTGTGGTTCCCTTCATATTAATTACAGATGTTATTCAAGATACTGTGTGCAGGATTTCTTGCATTGTTTGTGACCATTCTGAGGGTATGGGAGGCGAGTAAACTGGCTTTTACATAGCATTATATTCGACATTTTCAAACCCGATAAAATCAGAGTTCGAAATGAAGGAGATCGAAGGTGTGTTCGAGATTCATAAAAACAACCAACTCAAGTTACGTGTTTAGCCGTGCACATTTTTTGAGATTTTAATCATGAACTGACAAGAGTTATGATGCGAATCTCTGTCTTACTACTGTTTACAACCGAATAGACCTACAGTGACAAAATATGAGTTGTCAGCACACAATTGATACAGAATTATTTTTTCCGTTGCACACAAACCACAGCCGTAATCTGTCATATATATGTGTTCATGTAGTTGTTGATAAAGTTCCTGTTCATAAAGTTGCTGATTAAGTGTTGGGGATGTTAGATTCCCAAAAATCGCTTGATGAATGCCTTATTCTCTATTTCACGTTTGAGAGCATGGGCTGATCAGTTAAGCTTGGGATTTCATTTCCCACCAGGAAAATCCATGGCTGTGATTGACTGTTGTGTATTTTTGTGTGCTATTTGCATAACTGTCCCACGGACGTTTCTATGATGTATAAATAAACGAGAGTTGTGTGCTAGATTGTATTTTGATTGTTGAGTGTTTGTAGAATATACGTTTTACGCTTACAAAGACTTCTGTCTTCAGATCTGGACGCTGGTAATTGTCTCGTTCGCGTTTATCGACTAATGTGAACTCGTAACAGCTTCAAGCGTACATAGTGATGAACATATCATTAAGTACAACTACTAAGATTTTGTTTATATTACACGATTGACTGTGACTTTTGGCAATCTCAAGATTTCATAATATTATTCGATGCTCCTCACCTCGAATTCACTTTACCGTTACATCGTTACTAACCCACAACAGCAGCCCTGTCATACTCGGGAAACATGTAATGGGTAAAACCGTTTCATCTAATATAGAGTGGCTGATGATATTTTGTCAGCACATTGAAATCAGTTGGTAACAGTCGAGTCCGTAATTTCGGCCTAACTACTCTTATTGGAGTAAGTAATATCTTGAGGAATACGACTAGTTTCATTACTGCCCAAGTCTTTTAGCAATTTGTGCCTTATGCTGAACAGTCCAGTTGTGTTCAGATATCTCTGCATTGAGTCAATTTCAGTAAGTAATAAATTTAGCATGTCAGTCGCTCTGTGTTAGACTTTGCTGATTGCTTTCTACTGAAGCTGCAGCTTTAAGTGTGTATTCTTCTATGAGACTGAAACTACTTGTTCAGGTGGGTCTTTGTGGTTATTCAACACTCAGTGAAAAACATGTTTATTCCTGTGAGTTGATTCGGTCTCATTTTTGTGAAACGTTACGAGGTGGCCTCAGAAATTGTTAGATCTGGGAAGAGTGAAATGTAAAATACTAAATATATCGGAATATAGTAGTATGACTTTTCAGCACTTGAATGTTTAGTGTTAAGTTTCAGCCTTGACTTTTCGGAGTATTTAGATGTTTTTATTGAAACGGAAGTTTATCTCGCCATATTCTGTAAGCCAATCATAAGAGGTGACTTCCTAGGCCCAGTGCGCATCATTTGTTTAAGCCACTTGAGAAATAGCCTTCAAAAGGACGCACGTAAGCAGCGGCAGTTGGAACGGGTTAATTTTGCGTACTTAACGGTAACTCACTAGTCGATTTTTCACTCAGGTATTTTCATTGCATTTTCAGTCCATACTGGTCCAGAAATTTATCAGTAGATAGTCGTTAAAACGCTCAGACTGTTTGTGCATTGTTCGAAGTAATCAAATAAAATAAACAAGCGTCAGATAAATTGAGGAAAAATTATAGAATTTTCACCTCTCATGAAAAACTAATTCAGGGCTTTTGATAACCTCACCGTCAATTTGATCGCCACACAACTGTCATTTTAGCTCAATTGGTGTTTATTATTCATAGCTGATTACGTTAGAGAAAATATGTCGATCCACAATACTACAAAGAATCATGGAAAATGACTTCGAAGCTGTATGTATATTCATATGCTTGTCATGTAGAATCATGCTTATTCCTTAAGTCGTGATTAGATATAAGGCAACTTGACCAAATACCTTGATTGATGGCTTATGTCCTCTCACATGATAAAGCTGAGCAAAATGAAATCCCAATGGTTTATCTGTCACCTAGAATTATAATCAATATTGTAAAATATTTCTATCAGTTTCACTAACGTTTATTTTCGTTATTTATGATTATTATATTTATCTGTTAGTTTTCAGTACGTAATTAATATTTCTACCTCTTCCAAATTCAGTGTTTTGCTCGATGGCATTGTAATTCTACATTATTCATATTTCAACTGCAATTTTACTAAGTGTTGATGTAGTCGCTGATGCTTAGGGATACCCTACTGTTTCTAAATGAATGCACATACCTGAAATATAGGCATGCAAACACACAAACAACTCAATGATACTAAAACTAGTTCACTTGATCGAGTGTATTTTCTACATCTGAAGCCATCAAAGTCTTTGCTATGATAACGCAACATCAAGAAGGTGGCAAAAATCACATTTGGTTTATACTACACCGTCACAAGATACAGGATACTGGACTATAGTGATATATAACCATTAAGTAATGATTTATCTATAAGTGCGTCATGGCTACTTTGGAAATTGAAAGTAGTCTTTCAGCAAACTAAAATATCCTCCATTTGTATAGCAATTAACGAGACTCAAAACATGTCCTTATTAAAATGAATGGACATTTGAACAACACTGGTTTAGATTTCAAGTATTCATTGACTATTATTTACAGGGTATAAGTTGGCTATGCATTCTTGAGTTCTCAATGCATCCGAATAGTGCGGCTAAAGAATACAAACAAGCACTAACAAATCCACTGAGTGTGATGACATTGAGGACGAATCTGATAAAATTCTCGTGACTAACAATACAGACTGACAAGAAACTCCCCATATGTACGATGCATATTTTATGTACCTGTTACGGGTGTGTTAGCCATGCGACATATAACATTTTCAGGTCAAATATCAAATCGTTTTCGTTATCGTCCTATCATTTCAGGTATTCTAGTTCTTCAGATATTTGAATAAAGCTGTTATTTTGAAGCATTGTAAATTCAACATGATGGAAACATTGCAATCAGTTCTGAACTTCACTGATATGTTTTATGCAGAAATATTAGAAGAAACTCACGGTAAGCCTATTCTTCGAAATAATTTGTACATTCACATTCAGATCATTTGGAAAATAGTTTTGTCTCCCCTTTCAATATCTTTACTGCTCTTGGAATGGTTCTCGTTGGAAGTGAAGGAAATACGAAAGCTGAAATGATACGGGTGATGCAGTTATCCAACCACACGGAAATCGACAAAATTCACAACGGATTCAATGAACTGATGACTAAATGCTCTGAAGCTGGCAAAGGTGTTGACATAATTCTTGGTAGTCGACTGTTCACAAGAAAGGACATGGATATCAAGGAGCATTTCCGAAACATACTTAAGAAACACTACAATGCAATAGTAGAAAATGTAAGTTCATACTGTGTATCACTGACATTCTGGGTAGGTGTTATTTCAAACAGATCCAGAGAGTGCTCGGATACGAATCAACCAGTGGGTTAGTGAACAGACCAACGGAAAAATTCAACAACTCATCCCTCCCAAATCGTTGAAGAATGATACGTCAGCTGTTGTGGTATCAACCACATACTTCAGAGGTAATACCATGCATACAGTTGAAAATATTCATCAACTTATTGCGAGTATTGATTACTTGTGTGATTTGGAATACTCTCGTAATGTCTGTTACTATAACTATTCACCAACTAGCTAATCGTCGATCGTTTCCGTGAAAGAAGTATAATTGTGGATTGTTTAATTGCTAATCACAAATCTTCAGTGTATTGTTGAGTGATGTGTCGGAATACTTTGAAGTATAAAATGACATTCTGTCATGTCTTCAAATCAAACGACCGTCATAGCATCGGTCTGCAGATACAAGTTCAGCAAACGAATTCATGAGAACAGAACAAACAGACAATGAGTGTGTGGTGAATACAGTCTCTTGTAGTAGAGAAGAGAAGATCTTACTTACTGTAATGAAACTTACAATACTAAATGAAACATCTATATATATTAGGTGAATATTTTAAATTTTTAGTGAATTATAAAGTAACTTAGATTTCGGTTCATTTTACAACCAATCTTTCAATGATTGACTTTTATTTAATTTCAAAACAGTTGGATGAAGAAGGCGTAGTAGCTGCTGCAGCGACAGGAATAAAAATTTCTACAGCTTCATGTTTTATACCACATGAACCTGTACCGGAATTCCGTGTTGATCATCCGTTTATTGTTTCTGTTATATGGAATGATACTCTACCGATATTTCTTGGACATATTACAGCTCCAACAAACGAATGACTGATCAGTAATATGCAGTCTGTTAAAATAATTTGCTAAACAGTGTGTTTTGTGCTTTCTTAGATATACCAGATCAGATTTTTAGGAGTTCACTGTTCGTCTGAATATTCAGTAATGAATAATTTCGATCAAAAACAGTTCACTTACTCATTTAAATTATCGATTTGCGAATCATAATCAACCTTTTTAAAACTGATCATTAATTTTTGTGAAACTCATTTTTACGCTTGCTTACTTCTTTGAAGATAATTTTGATTGTTAGCTTACTCTGTTTGTTATTTGTAAAAGTGTACACTCTGGTTTTGCATATTCAATAAAGAGATACAATGCGAGTTGTGAATTTTCTTGCCAGCCACTATCTAAATTTCGTGAATAAAAGTTAGTATATGATTTGGCATACTCTCGTAGTGTCTGTTATATTATCTATATGTTAAATATCTAATGGTAAATTGTTTCTAAGAATGAAGTATAATTGTGGATTGTCCAATTGCCAATAACAAATCTTCAGTGTATTGTTGAGTGATGTGTCGGGATATTTTGATAAAAAGAAGTGAATTATTGTTCAGTCCGTAAACCCCACTGATCAATATAACGTGTCGACTTATCAATTGAAATGCTGATTGAAGTTTGGACAAGAATATTCCAAAAGATTACGTAATCAATATTCTCATAGTGAAAATCGGAGCTACACATCGCGAACAATGTTGTTTTCAGTTAGATCGTCATCAGACTTTCCTCTAACATACAGGAATATTGATGTGAAAGTATTGAACCAATGAAGGCAATTGAGGAGTATGAATCAATAATCACAATGAAATAGATTACGTAACTATACACAATAGGCAAAAGTACAAGTTGACAACTAGACAGACAGATGTGTACTGATAGTTGCAAGAATAATCAAATACGATTGTAAATGTTTTAGTCAATGGTTCAACATAGAGAGTAGCAGTAGTAGGTCAAACGTGGATACACTGATTTCAAATAATCATCACAAAACATAACCATTGCGTAATAAGAAGTTTGTAAATAATGACAATGTAAATGGAATGAGGCAGAAAATGACAAACAAATGCAACATGTGAAAATGATGTCAATGATAAAAAAAGATAAAATGATTTCGAAATCTTTCTGAATTCATGAATCGATCAATGTTAGAGCACCATTAGAAACCTGGAAGCACTAGACGGTAGTTTCATATTGATACGGGGTTCATCTACAGCGGTCTAACCCTAAACGATTGGTGATTCCAAAAAGTAATTCAACAAGGTTTAAAAGCGTTTATTAATTTATATCGGATCAGGGAAGGGACGAGGGATGTCACGAATTTCGTCGGAACACATAAATTTTGGCTGAATGTTCGAATTCTAATGGCTTTTGCTATATGTAGTTGACGCAATCAAACTTCGTTTGGAAATAATAGAAGTATACGAAAGACCAACATCGATCAATGAAGTTTATCTATTTTGTGACTGTACTCAGTCAGTATTTCCAAGATAGAGCTGTGTATTAGTTATATCAGGCCGTTTCTAAGCAGTGCTGTCAAATATTCATTCATTCGTTGGTTAAGAGGCACGGTAGTATACTCAACATCACTATCTGCACTGAAACAGTTGAATTTGTAAATAAGTTTGATATGTTGAACCTGAGCATAACAGGACGAAACGACCGTCCAGTATTGCCAGCTTGCTAATAGTGGTCTATAAATGATCGATTCATAATTTCGATAAAATCTATGTTTGTTTGTTGTTTCACAGTAGTCCGCTTAATCAAAATCTTAATCACATTCCGTTCAAGTTGAATAATTAAAAATGAAGTTTATATACTACTTATATACTAGAAGAATAAATATCATAACATTTTCATAAATAACTGAATCATTCAATAAATATTTCTGGTAGTCAGTTTCTTCATTATTTTTGTTCATTGTTCAAACTTTGCATTTGATCAACAAATTACAAGATGTGATCTACTGATGATGTGTTGTTTGTCATTCAATGACTAACACATTGTTTTACTGAATAGAAATTTATTAAAGAATTTGTAAATTTCTCTAATTTGAATGAACAACTGACCTTTATGTCGACTTGATTCAATGTTTCAATTCAATAATTAGTCATATTAATTAGGTATGATTTGATCATTTGTATATTTATCTACTTCGGTAATAGTATTCTTTTAACTAATAACTAATTATCAAGTAATTGAAATAATTCTCTTACTAAGATGTTTGTACATTGAACGAAGTTGTTTAAAATGACCAACTAATCGAAATGGTGCTATAGAGAAGGATCGGAAAATCAAACTGATGATGATAGAATAATGACAAATGTGGGAAGATTATCGAACAGATTGAGATTGAACAAACATTGTTTCTAGATGAGAAGTTTCTTTCTGTACTACTTTTCATGAATAAACTTTGAGCAGACATTACGTGTTTCATTTTGTTTAAATAGCTTTCTGTTAAATGTCCTCATAGAATGCAGCGGTTTCGTTTTCGATTCATTTCCGATAAAACTAAACACTTGAATGCAGATGATGAATGATAGTGTTAGTTTTATGTTTACAACACATGATCGTATGTTGATGAAGTTTAGACAAAACTGTAGGTAGTTGAAAAGGTATTTCATTTGATGCTGTTATCATCTCATTAAATGAATGTAAACAGTGAAGTAAATATTCATGCATTTGAATACTGTTCGGTAATTCTACTTTGTTTAACACATGGAATTGTTTCCCATTTTGATTATTATTGATATTATTATTATTATTATTAACGGTTTTATTCAGTATGATATGTTTAGTACAATATGTAATTCTCACCTCGAAATATTTGAACAAGTTTCAGTTAGACAATTAAACAATAAAAACGATAACAACCACTGTATGTACACACAAGTTTACATTAAACAAACTATTTGGAATTTGAATAAAAACAGAACGTGAAATCATTTCTCGAATTCTTCAGACAAGATGATCGGAATCCGTAAACAATAATTTGGTTCTATAGGAGAATTTACAAACTGTAAACATTAATTGTTGAATAATGCCAAGAACAAGTACAACATTTTAAGTAATAAGTCAAAGGGAAAACGCAAATTGACTTTAATGAAAACATGGGAAGAGCAGGCTAGATTGAACGAATAACTCGCACAAAAATGAACGAGCTGTGAAAGTGTTCTTATTATAGGATCTTCGATCATACACTTTTTATGCGGTTCCAACGGAATGTGTTAGTGCCATTCATATTTAAGGCTGAAACGAAAAGCTTAACATTAAGAGAGATTAAGTGTAAAATCACTGAAAATTATTTATTTCCCTCTGCTTTTAACCGGTTTAATTTCTGAGATGTTAGTCAGTCACATATAACGAAAACAGTTTCATTAGGATAATAATCACCTTTCAATGCGAACCTCAAGGGAGGTCTGTTGTATGGAGGGGAAATTTGGAGAACCACAAAGCAGTCATCCACACGATACAGGTGAATGTTAACATCGGTTTACGGAAGATACTGTGGATCCGCTGATGAACAGACACCATCAACTATAGCCTACTGTTGGAGTGGGCGAATCAGAATCAAGCTAATGTAGAAATTATGAAACAATGCTGGAGGCGGATAGGACATACATCGTACAAAAATCATGACAGCGTCACGGAGCAAGCCCTAACTTGGATCAATAAAGTTCAAAGTACAAGTGGCAGACGTAAGATCACATTACCTTGGGAATTGGAATCAACTGACAGAAGTATGTGGAGTGATTGTAAATGATGACTGAGGACAGATTCAGTTGGAGAATGATACTTGGACATCCATGGTACATTTGGAGTAACTGTACTAAAAAAACAATTGAGTAGTATGTCATAGCTATATTTGCTCACTATAGTATAAATGAATTTTAAATAAGGAATGACTTTTTACTGACTATAATTTGTTTTCCACGGATTGAAAATTTATTGCTGAGTGTCACACTGAAAATTTCGTCAAGTTCCGTCGTTTAGATTCGTTTTCATCTTTGTATTTTAGTCACAGAATATCATTGTTAGTTACTATATAGACTAAAATGATTTTACATTAGTGAACAGTAATGGTAACATACTTTACAGGTGAAAATAACTAACTAACAATGATATTCTGTGACTAAAATACAAAGATGAAAACGAATCTAAACGACGGAACTTGACGAAATTTTCAGTGTGACACTCAGCAATAAATTTTCAATCCGTGGAAAACAAATTATAGTCATTCAAAAGGCATGCTTTATTTGGCATTCATTCAATACAGTCTATACTGAATCATACTGAATCATACTTCTTGAATAATATCTTCTAATCCTAACCTCTCCGATTACTTCTAATACCTTTACTACCTCTTTTACTATTGGATTTGAATTGACAATTACATCTCTGTGCTGATGTGGTATGGCGACATGAATTGATGTACTTACGTACGAAGTTCTACGTTTTAACTGACTGAGTGACTGACTGAATTTTAAGCTTTTCATTTTCAACTGAAATATGAACAGCACGTCTGATCTCGGTTGCTCTTCTCCTGTTTTCATTAAAATCAATTAGCGTTTTCCATTTGACTTATTATGAAAAATACAGTTACTTCTTCTTGGCATTACTCCACAATTAATGTTTACAGTTTGTAAATTCTCCTATATATAACCTATTTGTTGTTTACGGATTCGGATTATCTTGTCAGCAGCTTTCGAGAAAAGATTTCACGTTCTGTTTTCATTCAAATTCCAAATACTTTGTTCAATGTAAACTTGTGTGTACATACAGTGGTTGTTACCGTTTTTCATGATTAATTGTCTAACTGAAACTTGTTCAAATATTTCGAGGTGAGAATTTCATCTGTGTACTAAACGTATCATACTGAATAAAACCGTTATTAAAAATAATATCAATAATAATCAAAATGGGAAACAATTCCATGTGTTAAACAAAGTAGAATTGTCCAACCTTTCCAAATGCATGAATGTTTACTCCACTGTTTGCATTCATTCAATGAGATGATACAACACACGAATAAAATACATTTTCAACTACCTACAGTTTTGTCTAAACTTCATCGCCATACGATCATGTGTTGTTCACATAAAACTAACACTATCATTCATCATCTGCATTCAAGTGTTTAGCTTCATCAAAAATGAATCGAAAACGAAACCGCTGCATTCTATGAGGATATTTAACGGAACACCATTTAAACAAAATGAAACACACAATATCTGCTCAAAGTTTATTCATGAAAAGTAGCACAGAAAGAAACTTCTCATCTAGAAACAGTGTTTATTCAATCTCAATCTGTTTGACAATCTTCTCACACTTATCATTCTTTTATCATCATCAGTTTGATTTTCCGATCCTTCTCTTCAGCACCATTTCAATTAGTTGATCATTTTAAACAACTTCGTTCAATGTACAAACATCTTAGTAAGAGAATTATTCTGATTACTTGATATTTAGTAATTATTTAAAAGAACACAATTTTCTAAGTATTTAAAAATACAAATTATCGAACCGAGCATGATAAATATGACTAATTATTGTATTGAAACATTGAATCAAATCGACATAAAGGTCAGCTGTTTATTCAATCCACAGAAATTTATAAATTCTTTAATAAATTTCTATTCAGTAAAACAATGTATTAGTAAATGAATGACAAACAACACATCATTAGATCACAGCTCTTTTTTTATCTTGAATAAAAGATAATCTTTGAACAATGAATAATAATGAAGAAGAAAGCAACTTTCAGAAATGTTTACTGAATGATTCATTTATTTCTTAAAATATTATGATATTTAGTCTTCTTGTATATAAGTAGTATATTAAGTTCATGTTTAAATATTCTTCTTGAACGGAATGTGACTAGGATTTTGATTAAGAAGCAAGAATTTTTTCGAGAACACATTTGGTTATTCAAATAAAGTTAATTGACATATTTGATGAACAATTAGGTGTCAGTAAATATTCGAAATATAGTTTATATCGAAATTACGAATCGATCAATTACAGACCTTTACTAACATTGTGGCAGCACTAGACAGCCGTTCGGCTACAGTACAGGACTCATCAGCAATGTGCATCCATGACTGCTGCTGGCGCAAGTCAAACCTTTTTCCTTCTTTTTAAAACGTCAACAAGTCAATGCATAACCTCATACACAGAAGATAGCTGCCTGCATCACACAGGGTTGAACCCCACGAGTTACGGCTTCTCACTAGAGTGCCGAGAGCTTCATCGTGAAGCGAGTGATTACTGAGCACAATCGTATGACGGTCATGATAGAATGGTGGACATTTTTGAGTTTCACTGAAATGATAAACTGCTCATTGTTAAACCAACATCACATACAGTGCTTCTATGTTTCTAATGGTGCTCTAACATTGATCAATTCATGATTTCAGAAAGATTTCGTAATTATTTTGTCTTTTGTTGTCATCCGCATTATTTTCACATCTTGCATCCGTTTGTCTATTTCTGCGCCTCATTCCATTTATATTCTGATTATTTACAAACTTTTGATTGCGCAAATGTGATGATGTTTTGCGATCATTATTTGAAGTTTGTTTATCCACGTTCGACCTACTACAACTATTGACAAAACATTTGCGATCGTATTTGATTCTTCCTACAACTATCAGTCCATCTGTCAGCCTAGTAGTCAACTTGTACTTTTACCTATTATCTATAGTTACGTAATCTGTTTCATTGTGATTATTGACTCATACTCAATTGCCTTCATTGGTTTAATACTTTCATATCAATATTCCTGTATGTTAGAGGAAAGTCTGATGATGACCTAACTGAAAACAATATTGTTGGCGATGTGTCGCTCCGATTTTTACAATGAGAATATTGATTACGTAATCATTATGAATATTCCTGTTGTATGATGATTACGAAACTAGATAACTATGTGTGTGTGTAAATTCGGTTCATGTTAAGCCGTCAGTCAACCTATAAACTATTGTCATAAGACTTATAATTCTTATTCCATTGCTGGCCTACTAGTTATCGTCTCTCTCATTCACAAAGACGTTCGCCTTCCTAAAGTATAATTGTTACCTAGCGCAGTACAGAGTGATGTTATTCAGCATGTATTTACTTAGTCATCGCCTTTTCAAAATGTAGATTCAGCAGAGGTTGATCGCTATTTTCGGACTCAGAAAAGGCGTAGAAAAGAGCCTGCGAATAGTGGACTGATAAGTCCTCAGCTGACAGTTCAAGATTAGTGATGCTGATTGGGTGTGTTTTTGTTCAGTTTGATGATAGATGATGGTCGAAGAGAAGGTAAAAGTGAATTATGACAAACTTCACTCATGATTTTAATTGAAAAGTGAACATGTTATATCGGTCGTTTAGTTTGAAGACATGACAGAATGTCATTTCTACTTCAAACTATTCCGACACATCACTCAAACATTACACTAAAGTTTTGTGATTGCCAATTAGACAATCCACAATTATACTTCATTCATGGAAACGATCAACGATTAGCTAGTTAGTGAATAGTTATAGTACAAGACACTACGAGAGTATTCCAAGTCAAATACTAACTTGCTTTCATCAAATTTGGATAATGACAGACAAGAAAATTCACAACTCGCATTGTATCTTTTCCATTTATTATTTGTAACATTGTACAATCTGGTGTTTTATATTCAATAAAGTACGGTGACAAGGAAAAGTATGTTCAAAGAACAAGAAAGCTTGAAAATCCGTTTCAACGAGTAATGATCAGTTTAGAAAATGTTGATTACCACACAAAAAAGTAAATAGTTTTAATTCATAAGGGTATTCTCTACTCATTAGTCAGACGAACAGTACACTCTTAAACATCTGGTCTGGAAAATTTAGGCGTGTACAAAATAGATTGCTTCTCAGAGAATTTAGACAGTCTACATACAGCTGGTCAATCATTCGTTGGAGATGTAATGTGTCCCAGAAATATTGGTACAGTATCATTCCATACAACAGACACAATGAACGGATGATCAACACGGAATTCCGGCACAGGTGCATAAGGTTCGAAACATGAATTTTCACATAATATCACTTCTGTCACTGCTGCGGCTACAACACCTTCCTCATTCACCTATTAATATAAATAGACGAGAATCAAACTCTGAAATGACGATTGTAAAAGGAAATCAGATATACGTTACTAAATAATTATACAGAAATTCATACTGTGTAATTTTTACAGATGTTTCATTGATTTGCATATTTTTATTACAGTAAGAGTCACTCCGCACAAAATAGTAGAATACTTCAAAAACATGCATTGCCGTTACACTAATTTCCTGTTTGAGCTGTCCCAATGCATATCTGTCATATATCCGCCAAGAACATGAAGACCTGAAGACGTCGTTTAAGGAGAATAAGAAACCTACGATTCAATGACTTATTGTCTATTGTGTACTAAGTAACTTGCGATCCGACAGCAATATGGATAGACGAAAGAATATGCCATAAATGTAAGTCTTTCGATTAACTCGTTATATTCTTTTGAGTGATAGCAGTGATAAGATGCCTAATACGGATCAAAATGTGTGAGTTCATTTCATTTATTCATTTATGTAGACAAACGTGAAGATGAGGCAAGCAAACCGAAGAAATCAAACGAGTCAGTCTCCTTTGATAAAAAACGATATACGACATATTGCCAGAAGAGAATAAGCTAAAGATATGCAGAGAATACAGTAAGTAACAGAAACAGTCACCATCATCAGCGTATTATCAGTCAATCTGTCAATTGCAACGTAGAACTTCGTACGCATGTACATAAGTTCATGTTGCCATAACACATGATCACAGAGACGCAAATGTCAAATCAAATCTCATAGTCATAAAGATAGTAGAGGTATTAATGGTAATGAAGAAGACTAGGGTTTGAAGATATTATTTAAGAAATATAATTCAGTGAGATCAGTTTAGGAAGACGAAACTAGAGGTGCTGACGAATCTAGAAGATTATGATTTCAGAGAGCTCAACGAATGGATGCACTTGCGCCATTAAACGATTTTGAGCGATGTCGTTCATTGGTGACTTTCGTCTCGCAGACCCCAACTAGGTAGTCTACATCTACCAACATGACTCAGTTCACTTGTCAGTGACTTCATGGATTATCAGGGTATTATTGACAAGATCAAAACATTACTTGAGCAGAATAAATTAGTTGGTCTAGTATTATCCGTGTAAGCAAAAAAAAGTACCAAACACTACACGTTTTGCTATTTTACAGAATCGATTATACAACTGGTAATCCGATATACAGAACTAACAGGAAAACTAACAAGTCACATATTCACAACTAGTCACATCTACCAGTAAAGTTTCACGACCATACTGCTTACAAAAAATCATATTGAAACAATTCAAAATCAAAAGCTGTTCATTCACTTCAACTAGTTGACTCACTTCAAGTATAGCTTTATGCAAAACATCTGATATATACAGTCTATCCGAGTTAGTGATGTTTGAGAAGTCCGCTGATTCAAAACTAAATGCGTCGTTTATTCCCATTTTCTGTAGAACACTTTTCAAACTCAAGGCACTCCCTTCTCTCAACTTGAATTTAGGTAAGTACAACTGCAACTTTGTATTCTCGAAATTACTGGAGAGTATTGAAGAAATTCCTCCATTTTTGTACAACAACTTCAATAGGTTCGGCAATCCATTCAGTTCATTTGGAAGAATAACCAATAACGAATACCTGTGTCATAGTTAGTTTGAAAGCAGAGAAAAGGTTAGGTAAGTTTAAACACTTTAAATACAAAAAGGTACAGTAAAATGTGTGCAAACTGAAATATACTGTATCGGTTTTAGGCACCATTTGTTGCCACTAGATTCCACAACGATACAAACAGTTCATTCAAATTAAGTCGAGCTTGCATTATTTAGAGCTAAGTTTAGTGATCTTGTTATATCGAGTTTATTCTGTAGAAAGCAACCTCCTTAATTCAGATACATGATAAACCTCGCCGTCAAATTACATACTTTGTGAGCTTGGATGCTTAGGTCTTGGTGTTATCCGTTGTTAGCGACAGGTTAGTAGATGATATCTTATCTGTGTGGAAAAGTTGAGACTGTCGTCAGATTTAGTTGAAATAACTGTTAGGATGGCAATTTGTTATTCCAGTAAAATGCACGATTATCATTTTGATTAGCTTCAAAAACCGAAACACAAGCATCGAATAAGCACATGCTGAAATAAACCGTACAACAATGATACTCACTTAGGATCTTTGAACGGAATCTTTACTGCTCGTGCCATAAAGTGAGGTAAACTGGTCATACCGAAAAAAGACTCGTTATACATCAACCTCACGTTGATCGTCAATCCGTCCAGTGTATAGAAATCACTGTCAATTGATGCATTCGGAAGAAAAGGCAGATTCCACATACCTGAAATCAAAGTTGGTTATCAAATCATCAGTAGGTTTGAAAGATAGCAATCAAAAGTGAAACACAAGTAATCAATACTTGCAATAAATTGGCAAATATTTTCAACTGAATGCATGGTATTACCTCTGAAGTATGTAGTTGATATCACGACGGCCGAAGTATCATTTTGTAAAAGTTTTGAAGGAAGGAGTTGTTGAACCTTCCCATCGGCCTGTTCACTAACCCACTGGTTGATTCGTGTTTCAGCACTCTCTGGATCTGTTTGAAATACTACCTATCAGGAATATCAGTGATACGCAGTATGAACTTACATTTTCCACAAGTGCGTTGTAATATTTCTTTAGGGTTTTCTTGAAATGTTTTTTAATGTCCATATTCTTTCTTGCAAACAGCCTATTCCCAAGGATTATTTCAACACCTCTGTCAGCTTTAGAACATTTTGACAGCATTTCACCGATGCGATTGTGAATTATGTCGAGTTTCAAGTGGTTGGATAACTGCATTGCCCTAATCATTTCAGCTTTTGTATTTCCTTCACATCCCGCAAGAACCATTCCAAGAGCAGTATAGGTATTGAAAGTCGAGACAAAACTATTTTCCAGATGATCTGAATAAACACATGTAAATTTTGTCAAAGAATAAACTTACCGTGAGTTTCTTCTAATATTTCTGCATAAAACATATCAGTGAAGTTTAAAAAAGATTGCAATATCTCCATCGTGTTTCAGCTTACAGTATTTCGAAATAACAACTTTATTCAGTTATCTGAAGAACTAAAATACCAGAAATGATAAGACGATAATGAAAATAATTAGTTGTTGGACCTGAAGACCTGATTTTTTTCATGAATAAGATACTCGTAATAGGTACATAATATATGCATCGTACACATGGTGATATTCTTGTCAGTCGTTTTTATTAGTATCGAAAATTTTATAAGATTTGCCCTCAGTTTCTTTAAACTGACGGATTCGTAAGTACTTTCTTAAAGTCTACAGACGCACTGATGGGTTGAGTTAGAAACAAACCAATATATAGCCAACTTTCCCGTATAAGTAAGTCAATAAATACTCTATACTAGTCGGTAGTGCTTTAATGGTCTACATATTCTAATACGGATGAGTTCGATGAATCTTTGGTTGTTATTCAAATATAGGATATTATAGTTGGCTAATAAGTTTACTTTCATTTGCTATATGTTGATCATTCGTATCTATTATTAAGTAGTATGAATCGAATACATAGCACTTAATTCGAATTATCTATATCTATCAGATGATGTAGTGTAAAACATGAATCTTTACATTTATATGTTCATGAAACAAAATGAAACTTTTCGATTCGAACAGTGCCTAGTAACTCACTGTGCACTGTTCGTTTTATTAATTTTTTCAATTGCCGCTATTTACCTGTGTCCTTCCCAAGGCTGTTTCTCTAATGGCTTAAACAAGTGTTACAGGAAAGAATGATAGAAGCTTCTATTTATCCAGCTGTCGTATATAATTACAGCGGACAACTAGAACATTCATTTGAGATGTGGTGTAGGAGTTAGATAGGGAGGATATTATCTTGAGAGCATTAGAATTACATTAATCACCTTAATATTCGGTTCACGTTCGGTGCAGTTTAGCTTGATAATTAAGCATGACCACTACACTAAGCTTACCTTTTTAAATTTATTTCTAAAAACTTCAGTTTATTTCAAGCATTTTAGTTTCCAGACGCTATCTAATTTTACTTCGTTAATAATAACATAATAGCGGAACAAATCGCTGTCTTATTTAAGGCAAGGACAGTCTGCTTGTACTTAATTATCAGGTTTCGGGTGAACAAACACTGGACTGGTTTCAGAACTGATATGACTGAAGACTGTATGGATTGACCAGCCGGCCCTAAACAGATGATAGTAAAAGGATGAGTGAGCCGTTTTCGAGCAGCGTTTCTAATAATAATAATAATAATTATTATTATTATTATTATTATTATTATTATTAATAGAAGTCTGTAGAAAAAATATCTAAGGATAATAATTAGCTTCAAAGATACATCATTTGGCATCAAGTAAACAACCTGTAAGCATAGCTATACATTCTGATTAGCCTTGAGAATGCAATAAAGATAAATTCGGAAACCTAGAAAACTCTACAAGCGAAACACGAAGTTATCGAAATCATTGTGTCAGAGCGGGTTTTCAGCACATAATTAGTACACAATGTGTTTTTCAGCTGGATACAAACCACCACAGTAATCTGTTATCTACATGTGTTCATGTAGTTGCTGATTAAGTGCAATTGGCTATGACTTTTGGCAATCTCAAGATTTCATAATGTAATTCGATGCTCCTCACCTCGAATTCGCTTCACAGTTACTTTGCTACTAAACCACGACTACAGTCCTGTCATACTCAGGAAACGTAAAATGGGTATTGTTGTTCCATCTGCTTTAAAGAGGCTGGTGATATTTCATTCGCACATTGAGATCAGATGTTAACAGCTTGATACGAAATTTCGGCTTAAATACTCTCATAGAAGTAAGTAAAATTTTAATGAACATACTGGTTTCATTACTGTCCAAGTCCTTGAGCAATTCGTGCGTCATGCTGAACAGTCGAATTGTGTACCGAAATCTCTGCTCTGTGTCAGTTCTAGTACGTAACAAAGTTAGCATGTCAGTCGCTCTGTGTAAATCTTTGCTGATCGCTTTCTACTGAACCTCCAGCTTTAGTGAGTATACTTCTACCAGACAGAAACTACTTGTTCAGCTGAGACTTTGTAGTCATCGACCACTAAGTTGGTCAACATGATTTTTAATGTGTATTGTTTTGATCTCAGTCTTTTAAACCTTATAGATGTGGCCTCAGAGATGGTTAGATCTGTGTAGATTGAAAAGTCAACATCTTGACATAAATCCACATTTAAGTTACGGAATGCCAATATAATTTGACCTTAATTCATATAACAACTTCGGAAAGATTGAGGCGTTTTGAGTGTTTATTATAAGAGAATTCAGAGAGACTGGCAACCAACGTAGTTATAATAATAATTATTATAATTATTTATTCTCAAATAACAAACATGTTACAAGAGACATGCCAATTTCCAGGCAAGATCAAAATGTTAAGATTAGCAACATATTTTTTCTTTTAAAACGGTATAAAGTTACTGAAAAATTTCACAAGATTCATTGTTTTCTTAAAGATGGAATGTACAAAGCGAGTAATTGGCGCAAGTTACGAAGGTTGCGTTACGACAATCATCTTATGGGCTGAGAAATGATTCATGGTACAGACAGGTTTTCATATAACAAGAATTGATGCGGTATATGTACAAAGGTCTGGTTGATATTCGTCATCTAATAATTTCACATGTTCTTGGGTAGGGTTCCTACACACTAGAACAGCTCAGTCATAGCACTGCCACCTAGTTCCTATACTGAGATGAGACCAGACAAACGGATTGAATTGTATCTGTTTATTTCATGCATTTATTTTTGTAGAAAAACATTTAGCTAAGCCGCGCAAAGTGAAGAAATTGTGACAGTATCCTTAGGTAGAAGACGACACACCACATATAGCCAGATGAAAATAAGCTAAAGATATGTTATGAATTCAGTACGTAATACACATACAAACGCTTACATAAAACCGCTCATCATCATCAGTGCATAATTGACAAGATCGAAACAAAACGTGAACAGAATAAATTATTTGGTCTGTGCAGAAGCTGATCTTACCAGTGTATGTGTAAAATAGTATCAGACGCTGCAACTTTCACAATTTAAAAAAGTAGGAATTCTACTGTCTACACAAAGCTATGCTGAAACAATTCGAAAACAAAAGCTGACCATTCACTTCAACTAGTTGACTCACTTTAAGTTTAGTCTTATGCAAAGCATCTGATATACAAAGTCTATTCGAGTGTGTGATGTTTGCGAAGTCCGTATTCGTTCGTATTCTCAAACTCACAAACTAGTATATGGCAGTTTATTACTTTGTTCTCGATTCCTGTTTCTTCAGTACGGTTCTATTAATTTGTTAGTGTCGTATAACAGTGCACCAACAGACTTCTGTCCGTCACTGCTGCTAGAGTCCCAACTAATCTTAACTATATCTGTCGAAGTATACTGCTTCATCCAAAAGCAGATGGTTGAATGCCACAATACAAATATTTCATCTGAAATCAAAATAATCTTCATAAGTGTGCTAGATAATTTTTCGTTGGGATTTCCTTTCAGGTACTAAAAACCTCTAAAAGAATTCCACAATGAAACTGAGACACACGAGATAATTCGGCGTTTGAAAAAGAACGAACACTGAAATTTTAGTCTGTATACGAAAAATGAAGGTTTTTGCATAGCTACTCATCTATCAGTTGAACCCATTCAAAAGCTGTTATTCAGAAGAATGCTGTAGAAATGGTAACTTCTAGTACCAAGTTATGGAGTTCTATTACTTATAATCTCATTGTGTACTTATTAAAAAGCTAATTACTTACGTATCTATCCTTGTTATGTCATAAGCCCTTGATAGGTTTATTAGCCAGTCTAGTACGAGTGATAATTCCTAATCTTTTTCCAGCTTATCATGCGCATAATCACAGATTTTTAATGAATTGTGTGCAGATTTACGTTTACTGAATCGGCTAATTAATACTTGTGAAAATAATCAAAAGGGGTTAGAAATTATGATTTGAAAAAAAACGCAATCGTTCATTGATGGAAACGCGTTCACTCCGCTTTTGTAGGCAGAGCAAGTTTTCTATCCTTAAGTCAGAAACCTTATCACACTCTAATCCGAAATCAATGATTATCACGTTGACAGACTGACTGCTGTCTAATTACATTTCACAGTTAGTAAGTTACTCAGATATGGATACTTATCTGAAAGTTCATGTTGTTCAGCAGTTAACATGATGTATAATCTTACATGACCTGGTAAATTGATCCGAATTAATTTTTCAAGGACCATATCTGCAATTCGGGTCAGATACGTTCTGTTTCTCCCCATACATGACTACAGGACTAACAATATTGTTTTCTTAGTCAAATGTACTGATTCGATAGTTGGCCTTTCATTTGTACAATTTTCGAAATTCTTGTCAACAAAATCCCTAGAGTAAATTTTCCTGAGATAGTTTGATAGTCTCAGACACTGAAAAACCTACCATTATCATAATTGCGCTTGTATGAGTACGCATTGTCGGAAAATTGTCACAGCCTACGCGCAAATTTATCCTACAAGCTTCTATTTTAGATGCTTCAATAATTCAGTGACTCATTTACTTCACCAAATATATGTGGATTTCATGTTCTACCGGTTTGTTCCTCACCATTCGCATGTCGACTCGTATGTACATAGTTTGTGATCGGTTTTGTGTGATAATATACATAAATAGTACCTCGTGTCATCTGAATTTTAAATATCGTTCGAAATGTGATTAGCTTTGCATAATGTCTTCCCAATTTTGTGTAAGAAAAACAATATACGAAGACTATAAGTGTTATCGAATATGATCAGGCACTGATGTTTCTGTGTAGGATTGATGTAACACTTGTTTGAGCTGACTATGAAATCAAATTTCCATGTGCTTGAATGACATTATTTCGAAA